GAGGGCCACCTGGATAGCCGCACCGAACGCCTAGGAGGCAAAGTAATCTGGGGCGGCGCCCCCTACACCTCGCTCTAGAGTACGGGACTGTGCCTGTGTGTGGCGCCTGGCCTTGATGGTGTCGTAGATGTCACAGCCGCTGCTGACTCAGTGATGCACGGCGGGCTGCCGTGGGGAAAGCTCGCGCCTTCGCTCCTATCGTGGCTTGGCATCCCTGGTTCGTGGGCAGTCAGAGCTGCTACCGGAGGAGTCACCACCGTTCCCGCCTATCGGCGGGGCATGAGCATCAGAGCGATCCCCATTGGCGGTGGTCGTTGGCTAAGATGGCCTAGCGCGACACTGAGAAGCAGAGCTCTCGACCTGCTGCTCGAGGGCGACGCAGAAGCGCATGGTGCTGGGAGCCCCATGTGGGTGTCATCATCATTGCGGGGAGGCTGCGTGGCTTGTTGTTGCGCAAAGTCCTACCTTTGGCGCTCGAGCTCTGCCTCGGCGGCCTCCAGGTCCGCTTGTAGAGCTTATAAGTGAGCGGCCTTCTCCGAAGGTAGTTCGTGTGGCTGCGGGGACTCTAGTCCGGCGACATGAGCTTAGGCGCCTCCTTAGTGGGAACCTCACCATCAATGTGGTAGCACATGCATGGTAGAGTGTGGCAGTCGATGTCATCAGAGTCATACTATGGGTCATTCCCCAAGAGGATCTCGAGAAAGGTGCACAACGATGGGACATTAGCCCCTGTGGCACTAGAGAGGATGGTGCTCTAGGTGCCTCGTGGCTGACGAGGTGCTTCAGCTCTAGCTGGAAGGACACCACCGCATTTAGGATCACGAAAGGCAGGTCCGAAAGGTAGTACCAGAAGCGGTCGGGCGGCGGGAGCACCTCGCCGGTGGCGATCTAATGGTGGACATTGGCCAGCATGTAGAACATCTGGCGTTGATCCAACATGGTAAGGTGCGGACCCAGATCACGCTGGAGCTGCTAGGCTAGGACCTCAAGATCTTCTCCTAGGAGACCTAGCGGTGGGGTGGCGCCGAGAGCTCGTTGCCCACCGGTGCAGCCCCGTTGAGTAGACAAACCTCTCCGTAGCAGTCAGCGACGTAGGCCAGGCTCCCAAATTTGAGGACATGGCCCAAAGCGAAGGCACTGGCTGTGATGAAGAACTCACCGGGGAAGCGAACACCACCGTCATGGGTGGTGCTGCTTGCTCCGACGATGAGGCGGGTGGCTCCGGCCACCATAGAGCCTGAATCGCACTTAACACTACCCCCTACTTAGGGCGCCAGCTGTCGTAGGGTCGGAACCACGATAAGCATTGTTGTTCAAGTTGGTGTCAGAGTACGTGTCTCCGGTGACTTGGGTGGACTCAAGAACACAAGAATCATAGAAAGGATGCAACAGTTTATCCTGGTTTAGGTTGATTGATGCCCTACGTCCAGCAGCTGATGATACTTATACTCAAGACTACTCAAAATCAGGGGTTTACAGTAGAGTGTATAGGAGGAAAGAAGAGATTTGGTAGGGGGTTAACTCGGTGCTAATCCCAAGGTTGCCTCGCCACCAGTGGAGTCTTCCACGTGGTGGAGAGGAGGAAGACGATGAGTGTGGTGGAGGAGCTCTCGGTGCCCCTCTCTCTAGGCTGCTCTACTTCGATGCTGAGCAAGAGCGGATGGATGAGGAATGGAATGATCTATCTGGGATCGTTCTCTCCCCTCTAGGATCCGACCTTACCCCTTATATATCAATATAGGTTGGGTACATGGCGGTTTAGGGGTTGAGCATATGGTCTACATGCACCATAGTCCAGGAGGGTCTTATAGTGGCGCTCTGTGGACCGTGGCGATGTCGTGGAGCCGAAGAAGCCCTGGGCGTCGTTCGGCTACTCTGTTCTGACACTCCGCGTGTCTAGGTTGTGTCGGCTTGGACCGGCCTCACCAGGTGGACCTTATGGATCCTTCTTGGTGGCGAAGGAGGTTGGCTCCAGGGGCTAACGCGTGGGCCCAGGAGCCCCCGAGCCCTTGGAGGCCGACGGGGAACTTGTCTTCTTGTGTCACGCCCCGTGCGTGACCCTGTCGGGGGAGCGGCCGGCAAGGCCGCGCCCAAGGTGCTGTGCCGAGGAACCCCCCGAGCCTCGATGGCTCGGGGGTGTCATCTTGTGTCCGGGCCTTGGCTGGCGTCGTAGGCCGGGCAAGAGCCGAGGGTCGGGCTCAGGTTTCCCATCAATCGGGAGCTTGAGGCTCGGGCGAGCCCCCGAGCCCTGAGTAGCAGAGGCCCTAGCGTGCTCGGGCTCGGGCAAGCTCCTTAGTTTGAGGGTGCGCGCGAGCGTACCCGATGGGTATAACCCGCGAGCCCCCAGGCGATCCTGGAGGAATCGACGGGGGTCTCTTCGATCGAGAACCATGGATCCCGAAGCTTAACATACCCATATCTTAGGATCTCATCACTGTGTAGTCACAAAAAAAGCTACACGGAGAATCACTTTGCCAAATCAATATATCCTCCAATCCCAAAAAAGTATAATTCTCATCTTTCGATGATTCAACAATCTAAAATTTTTATTAAATACTAAAAAATAATATTTATGATATGTAATGCTCCTCTCATTTCAAATTATATGGCATTGTGGCTTTTCTAGATACATTGTTTATATTGTTTCTAAACATTGTGTATATCTTAATACATATAAAAAACTATTATCTAGAAAAGACAAAATATCTTATTTAGAACGGAACGTATGTATCATTAGATTAATTCTAAAATACATTTTTATAATTCTGAATGTAGTTTTTACAATGGAACACAATAAAACACTAGGCTAAATGGATTCTGAGCTGAGTTTTATCAAAAGTTTTGTGATGTCATCAGAAGGGATATGATGCAAATGTTCCATAATCTTCAATCGGGAACCTTGCTACTCTTTAGTCTCAACTTTGATGTCACAACTTTGATTCTGAAAGTCCAAGAAGCAAATAGAATTCAACTGTAGCGGCCAATTTTCTTGCTAAATGTTAGCTTCAAAATTGTCACTAAATTAGCAAATATTTGAATCAACACAATAGCAGATTATATAGTTGGTCCAACTCTAACCGCCTTTATGCGAGGACGCAACATCCTTGAGGGAGTTGTCATCATGACAATTCAATTCATGAGTTATTCAAGTACAAGGTACCCTCTGTCCAATGGAGGATGCTTTCCTTGAGCCGTGTGCTCGGGTTTATAAGGGTGTCAATGAGTTTGTCTAGGGTTCTAACTTCTAAGCTATGAGATGCTCGAGATATGGAACTAGTCATCACTACCTCCCCTAATATAGTCCGGGATAGTGTTACAGATGAAATATCGAATGACCTAGATCTACGATTTTTTAGTTTATTACAAAGAAATCCTACCCGATCCATGTGAATCAACATAGTATGCTTGACTTTTAAGTATATCTAGTCGATATCTTGTATTACAAGTAATCAACATATCCCATCCGGTTTGGACCTCTTCTTTAGGGCCTGTTTGGAATAAGAGAATTTTTTTTCTGTTCATACGTCTTTTTTGTAAAATTGAACTGATTTCTGTGAAATTCCTGTGCAATTCCTGTAAAATTCATGCGTTTCAAACAGGCCCTTAGCAAGCTTAGCACATCCTGTCCGTGCGGCGGGGTACCAACAGGTGATAGTCTTGTCTTTCAGATTAAGTGTTATAAACCTTTTTTTTAATCTTTATAAGGTTATGTGTATCCTGGTGGTGTAGAGATCAAAATTGTTTAAAGGTCTTCGTATCATTTTGATGTAACAATCTTGAAACTAACAAAACGTGTTTAGAAAAAATGCTTATAATTAAACTATATAAATATATAAATATAAATGTTGATACTTTAAAATTTGGGAATGCATGTCTGACTCTGACTCTGACTCCTCGATTGGAAAGCGATATGCAATTCCATATCTGACTCTGATTTCGACGCGGGTAATTCAATTTAATTTCACCATTTACCCCATGTATTTTTAGGTAGAGAAGGATAGGAGGATCCCGGGAAAATTGAGTGTCATCATGAACCCAACGGAAGGCTTAGGAAAGAGGCGGGCGACATGGGAAAAAAAGAGATTGGGAATTTGGGATGTGAGGATCGCAGGATACGGTGCCGGCGTGGAGCCCTTGACACAGTGGCGGAGCTACAGCAAAATCAAAGGAGGTGCGTTGACTTCGCGGGTGCATGGATTTTTACCATATAGATATATATATATACGGTAAAAAACTGAACATAATCACTGTTTTTTTGAATTTTTTATGGGTGCTGTCACACCCCCTACCATAAACATAGATCCGCCCCTGCCTTGACATGAGCACTAGGGGAAGCGGAGGGGGTGGTTGTCTTGTTGATCGTGATGCGCTGCTGCTCCAGTGCTCCTCCTCCTGCTGCTCGACGCTGACGGCTCAAGTTTATCCCTCCGGCCTGGCCTCCGGGGTCTCGCTCTCTGGATTATTCCTGCTTTTTTTCTTTCTTTCTTTTTGTCTCTTCTTGAATTGAAAAACTTGGCCTTGCGGTGTCTCGCTTCCACTGGTAAGTGGACCGAGAGCGAGAGGGACCGACCGACCTGGCGTCACGCACTCACCGCACTGATTGGGCTCCAAGCTCGGTCGCTGCCAACTGGGGGCCTCACCGACACCAGTTCTTGGAAAACAACATGCTACTTACTGGAAAGTAAAGGGAGATACTTGCCGCGTTGGGATTCTCCAACTCCAACTCCAACCAAGACGATTGATTTCATCCCACTACGCTTTTTCTTTTCCCTTTTTTATATATTTTTTGGTTCGGTTCTTGGTCACCTGTTCTTACTACTTGGCCAGGAAATTAGATGATCAGGTGCTTCTGTTTGTTTGTGCATCTCTTGTTTGCGCCTGCGATCTTGGCCTTTGTGGTTTCATCAGCAAACGGAAAGAGGAGCCTTTCTTGTTGGTAGTTACAACCGGTGGCGTCTCTTGTTGTGCAGGTGCGCTTTGTGTGAGGATCCAGAGGAAGGATGGCTCTCAAGAAGTTGCTGCAGCTCTTTTGTGTCGGGAAGAAGGATTCCAAGAAGAAAGGTGCTGCAGCCCACCCTGGTTTTCAGAATTCAGAACAACTATCATTTGTCTTCTTGAATTTCCAGTTTTTCACTCTGCCCTGTTTCATCTATCAGCACTGGTTTCCTCAAATATGAGCACGTTTTTTTACTCTTCATTGCGCCATGACACAGCAATCTAATTGTCGGTCCACAAGTTACTGTGGGTTGGAATTGTCTAGTTGTGTCTGCTTTGTTTATGTTGATCTACGATCTACACGGTTATATTTTGAGGACTCAAGTGTGCTGTGTTCCCCACACACCTAGGAACTAATGAACCATACAGATAAAATTTTAGGAACCCAGCAAGTAGGAAATAAGCTCAAAGGTGCTATTTTTTATGGACTAGAAGAACTGTAAAAATGATATTGATGCCCTCCTTTTCTTATAGGACGCTTAGATGCTTATAACAACCCCAGAATGTGCTTCAGATTTTATACATTCACCGGGAAAGTAAAAGGTGATATTTTGATATAATCAGAGGTCTAATCTGCCGATAGCGTTGAATGTGATTATTGGTATATATGCGTGATGAACATAAGTGAATCCTATGTTTTCTTCACTTATACTGAATATTTTTCTAATGAAAGCATAATCTGCTTATGCAGGCAAATCCATCGACCCACTCTGGCGAGGTACCCATGATGTCCAGTGTCAAGCTTAGCATATGTTTTTCTTGCCCCTGATATATATATTTTACCTCTTATTGATTGCATGAGATGTGACCTGGACTCATTTATTGTAATTTGTGTTGGTACTGGTGCAGTCCAGATGCCAACAAAGCCCTAAGACTGGTAAAAGAATAGATTACTGAATAGGATCTAGGAATTGTGACTATAAAGTTACTACTTGTTCACTGAGAAAAGAAAAAAAAAAGCATGCATATAGATGTTGGGAAACCCTTTGGAGTTACCTCCTTTGGAGTAACCTATGAGTTGGCTGTGTAGATTCAGCTCAACTGTCATTGCAGGGCTTGATAATTTTTTAAACTATTATTGTATTACTTATATTTAACAAATAACTCCTTAACTTCAGTTTAAATAAGTAACCAAAATTCAAAACTTTAAAAGGGTCGAGTAACTTCTTTTTATGTGGAAGAGTGGCACTTCAGATTTGCAATTTCACATGGACAGTAGTATGGTAGGCCTGACTGAGCTGATGGGTTAAACTTCATTGTATAAATGCTGTCACATATCTCTACTCTAAGCCTGAATTATATATTTGGTGGTATCATAATGCCATTACTCTTTTGTTTAATAATTTGCCTTACATCCTGGATCCCAGCCTCTGCTTCCCGCTCCTCTGTGAGTGTCACTGCAAACAAGACTCGTTTGGATCCCTGTTCAAGTGGGACTGGCACTGTATGCGTGCAAAACCATGAACCTGAATGCTCAAGTATGGTTTCCTCATGGGCAAGGACAGAGCATGGAACTGAGAATACTGATCATATGTCCTTTAGTCAATTTGATGTTGTCCAAGATTTCTCGGATCACCACTATGCAAAGACTTCAGCAGGAAAGGTATGCTGTCATTTTGTGAACCATTTTTCTGATATATTAGACCCAACCACAATTTTCCCACCTCATAATGTGTGACCAGGTCACCAAAGATTGGGTGAAGTCAATCCAAAGTGAATGGAATCTTCTACAGAAAAACCTACCTGGTCAGTTTATGCTGATTACATTTTGTCAATTTTTTGTTTCCTGTTTTCGCCAAACTGCCACAAACTCTAGTTACAGAGAATTCAAAGGAGACACCATGGTGCCTACACAATCATAACCTTATAGCATTTTGTTGACAATTCTTTTCCATAGTAATCTTGTCATGCTAGCAATACATGTTCAGAACTAACTATTTTATATTAGGGAACATTGAGAAATGTAAATGTAAACAATCTGGATTTGTGAAATCATGTGCACTTATACCACTAATCACACATGTCATGTCTGTACAATTGACATTGAAGCAAATAATCCTTATTCTTGATTGGAGAATTTACACCTGAAATCAGCTGATCTTTTGTTGCTGTTAATTTGGATCAATTTGGTCTCAACTACGCAGAATCAATATATGTTAGAGTTTATGAGGACAGGATTGATCTGCTCAGGGCTGCAATAGTTGGGCCGGCTGGAACTCCATATCATGATGGTCTGTTCTTCTTCGATGTCCGTTTTCCTTCTGAATACCCGAAGTGCCCACCAGTATGTGACCACTTGACACCATCCTGCCTCTTGTATTTATATTTGTATAGCCATCCACATTCTTTTGTAAAATCTACTTGATGCGTGCAGAAAGTTTACTACCACTCGGGTGGACTTCGGCTAAACCCAAACCTGTATGAGAGTGGGAAAGTCTGCCTGAGCCTTCTGAACACCTGGTGGGGCAATGGATGCGAGAAGTGGGGCAAGTCGAATTCCACCCTGCTGCAAGTTTTGGTCTCCATCCAGGGCCTTGTGCTGAATGATAAACCATACTTCAATGAGCCAGGAAACAAAAGTTCAGCTCAAACAACAGCTGGTGAAAGGTATTCCTTGGCTTACAATCAGACGGCCTTCGTCAGATCATGCAAGACAATGCTGTATTCACTCCGGAAGCCTCCAAAGGTGAACAGATGCTTCATCTCTTGATATAGTAGCTGTCCAGGAAATTGAAAACTGAATGTATCCAAATACACTCTGCATTCACTGTTCTTACATGGCTCTGTTTTCCTGCAGCATTTTGAGACCCTTGTAATGTGCCACTTCCACGAGCATGAGCGCGCCATCCTCGACGCCTGCAGCGCTTACATGTCTGGGACAATCGTTGGGTCATCTGTTGGGAGCAACCTCAAATATGTCCGTGACAAGTGCTTTGCAGATTTCCACAAGTCGCTGACGCTCTACACTGAACATCTCAGGACTGAGTTTGCTGCAAACAGAAGACGCGTGCTGGAGCTGGAGAGAGAGGCGTCAGCTGTGCAAGTGCAGGAGATCGTGTGCCTAGCAGCTAGAGTTCTTTTGTCAAAACAAACATTGCTAACTGGCAAGTGAAATGGTGGTTAGGTTGTTGAAGGAAGCGCCCCACAGTGTCGAAAAAAGGCCTTTATATCTTGCACAAGAGTTGCTCTCTCGTCGTCAGATATTAGCTAGCTAGCTATTTCTGGTGATGGCACATACGGTTCATTACTAGTAGATGTTAGCCTCATTCTGTATCGGATCTACCTCATTCATGTGACTTGAATAACCTGATTCATGGCAATTGTACCTATCCCTATATCGAGATGGCCTAATTCCTGACCATGTGGCTGGTCCCTGATACATTAATGCACATGCTGACATGTTCAGTCTAATTTCAGATAAATCCGTCCGGGTGACAATATAAAAACGAAAAGAAAAGAAAATGAGAGAAGACAGAAATTGGCACAATCTGAAAAAAAAAATCGCTCTTTCAATAGAATCTTCTGAAATGCAGGTGAATTGGGCAAAAAGTATCATCAGGCATGTGGATTGGATGGCCATAACCGGAAAATCTCATTCTCCACGCCACCCACCTGTCCGATTCCTCATCTCCCTCCCATCCGGTGTTTCATGTAGATGGTAATTTGTTTTCTTGCATCTCATTGCTTGGAGAACATTTTGCATTAGACTATATATGAATATGCTCCAATTCACTTGTTCTATTTTTAGGACATATAGGCTAGGAAACAGTCAAACAGGGGTGGTGCAATTTTGGAGCATGAACAAGTTGCAGCAAGAGAGGTTTTGGTCTTTCGGATCAGATGACTGCTGTGTTAGTGTAATATGACATGTTGTAGCCTCTTCAGCTAATCTAATCCTGTATTCTTGGTAACAGTACAAACGACCAGTTTTCTCATAGCTTGGTACAGTTTGGTAATGCTGTATTAATGGTAACAGTACAAATGACCAGTACAAGTGACTATCATCGTCAATATGTATCAATAGCTACAAGAAGAGTAAGGATATGTCCAAGGAATATATTCATTCGATAACCTACTATGTCCCTCGTAGCTCAATTTTCCTCCAGATCAAACAATATCAAGCTGTACAAAGAACTAAACATCCACAATCCTAAATCAGGGATCATCTCGTCAAAGTTCACTGCCCCATCTTTCCCATTCAAAGCATGCCCTTAATACAAAGAACTAAGCATCAACAATCATAAATCAGGAATCATCTCGTCAAGGTTCACTGCCCCATCTTTCCCATTCAAAGCATGCCCTTAATAATTGAACAAATTTGGGAGACAGCACACTGATCAATTATATGACCAAACAGGGTAAGCCCTTTAATAAGCTAGCTGTGAAAGTGTGAGTGAGTGCATGAGTATGATTGGTGCACCTGCGATCCGAAAGTTCATTACAGTTTCTTTCTGATGAGTCTGTCCTCTCTTATGAAAGTAATTGCTGATTAGGTATACGCATGGCAGATTAGTGGGTAAAAGAAAAACCTGTCGTATAACAGCATCAAGTTCCTCAGGCGATGGACCAGTGATGGACTTGTAAAACTGGAGTGAGGAGAGCAATAGCAAACTCATCAATTGGCAATAAAGCTATAAATTGTACTATGTCATGCATATGGAAACTTTTAGAGTTGTTCTTAAATGACACGCCTTGCCTACATGGGAAATGCATTAAAAAATGGAGTGATGTGTCTGTTTGCTATGGCAGAGATGGGCCAGGTGCTTTGCAGAGACTCCAAACAGTCATTTCTGAATATCATCCTTTGATTAGCTCACATAAGATAATTCCTAAACCCCCTCTTTACATCGAGGAAATTGTAAGATTGAACTTGCATTGCCAAGAAATGGAAGTGCTGCCCTAATCAGACGGATCCCCTTCAAAAGCAGCAGTCAGGTTGTGTTGATCAACAAAAGGGAGGAGGAGCCGGTTCCTGATTGTTTATGTGGCTTATAAGCTGGCTGATGTTGTTTTGTTGTGAGAGAAAAATATTATATCATGAGCTGATAAGCATGGTTGATACGATCAAACGAACAGGGTGGCGATGATGAAGTTGCAGAATCATCCTGGACGGCAACCTGGCTCTTGAGGCGGTTGGTGATGGGCTTGGACAGCATCCGCTGTGCCAGGGTCTCCAGCTTCGCCACCAGTAGCACCATTCATGACAGCTCCAGGAGTCCATACCTTTTTTTGGTACCCTTCTACTCCCAAAGTTTTTTTTTAAAAAAAGGTCAGTACAGAAAGAATAACGACGACAACACTAACGTATAAGCTGAGGTATTCTAGAGTTAAAATTCACCAAAAGTCCCAAGTCACGGTTCAGGCACTTCAATAGCTGATTTTTAAGTACTCATATTTAAATATAAATCTCTAGTTATATCCCAAGCTTTTAAATATCTTTTTATTGTCTCCCCATGTCAATTTCGGTCTTTCTCTACCTCTCCTCATATTATTAGCTTGGCTTAGGACTCCACAATGCACTGATGCCTCTGGAGGTCTCCTTTGGATATGGTCAAACCACCTCAACCGATGTTGGACAAGCTTTTCTTCAATTGGTGCTACTTCTAGACGATCACGTATATCATCGTTCGAACTCAATCCATTCTTGTGTGACCGCAAATCCATCGCAACATACGCATTTCTATAACACTCAGTTGTTTAACATGTCGAATCTTTATATGTCAATATTATGCTCCATACAACATAGCCGGTCTAATCGCCGTTCTATAGAACTTGTCTTTTAGCTTTTGTGGTACCCTCTTGTCACAGAGAATGTCAGAAGCTTGTCGCCACTTGATCCACCCTGCTTTGATTCTATGGCTAACGTCCGCATCAATATCTCCATCTTTCTGTAACATCGATCCCAGATACCGAAAGGTATCCTTCTTAGGTACTACTTCTTAGGCAGTACAAAAAAATAAAAAAAAATAAAAAGATAGGGAAAAAACATGGGCTACGATAAATTTAGGATAACTCTTCTATTTTTTTTATAATTACACAGTACAACGTAGACGTCCACACACACGTAAACCCTACCCCTATGAGCACCTCCGAAGGATTGAGCCGGCATATCTCGAGATTCACGGAGTCACCACAGTCGCCTCATAAGAGAATATTTACCTAAAAAAAACATGATAGACATGTCTATCCATCCAGTCAGTAAGAAATAATAGAATTTCAAACTTCCATCGTCCATCGGCCCCGTTCGCGTGCTCTTAAACCCGGCTTGATCCATTTCTTTTTTCATCTGGAACAGTATTTTCCTCTCACAGATTCCTCCAAATTCCTCCAGGCGAACGGGACCATTATCAGCAATAGCAATCTCCTTCTGTACAAGGTAATCTCAATTATTATACTACCAGGATTCCAAGAAACATGCATGGCAAGGAACATTACAAAGCGAAGAGGAACAAGACTACAGGAGCACTCAACATTACCGACATCTGTATCTATGGTGTTCAGTCCTAGCACTAGCAGGACCCACAATTGACCAGGTACAGACCTAAAAATACTCAACAAAATTGCCTGTCTTTGGTTTAGCTGCAGCTGCAGCAGCACCAGAAGGTACTCTACTCGGAGCAGTCCCAACTGCAATCTCTGCTGCCTTCTTCTCCTTGGATCTAAACTGCCCGAAGTCTACAGGGTCAGGGACAGAAGGTGGGTGAGCACCCCTCACAAGTGCCCAGTTCACCCCATCAAAGAATGGGTGCTGCTTGATCTCAGTGGCACCCCTCTTGGTTGCGATTCTCTTCTGAGGGTCCTTCACCAGAAGCCCACGGATGAGGTCACGGGCGACATTGCTCACAGGTGGGGTGTCAGGGAACCGCAGTGGCTGGTCCACCACATTGCACAGCGTGGCACGGTTGCTATTCCCCTTGAACGGTGTCATGCCATGGAGCAGCTCATACAAGAAGATGCCGAAGGTCCACCAATCCACCGCGCTTCCATGTCCCTCTCCTCTGATGATCTCTGGTGCAAGGTACTCGTGTGTTCCGACAAATGACATCGACCGCGCATCTGTCGGCTCAGCATTGAACTCCAGGAGCGATCCGTTGATGCTGAAGTCTGATTTGGTCTTGCGGTTCTTCTTGGGGAGTATGCGCGGGAAGAACGCTGATGACTGTATGCAGCCTTGGTTGACACCCTCAGCATGGACTACGCCTTTCTCAACGCCATTGGCACCAGCATTGATTGATGAGGATTTGACTAGCATCGGGCTGACTGAACACCTCAGAGACAGGTCAAAGTCAGACAGCATGATGTGTCCCCCATCTCTGACCAGGACATTTTCTGGTTTCAGGTCTCTGTAGACAATGCCTAGCATGTGGAGGTACTCAAGCGCAAGCAACACCTCAGAGGCATAAAATCTGTCAACAATCAGAGAAAATATAATTCAGATAAGCAAATGTTACGTGCAGATGTGCAAGAATAGAATTATACAGAGAATCGTCAAAGGTAAACAAACAAAGAATACTTGGTAATCTGAGATGAACGAACCTGGCTGCTTGCTCATTGAAATGCCTGTTAGGTTGCTTCTGCCGAAGCGAATGCAGGTTGCCACCGCAGCAGTACTCCATGACAAGGCAGTAAAACTTTTCGGTCTCAAAATGAGTGTACAGGGTGGGTAGAAAGGGGTGATCAAGAAGGCCAAGTATCTGTCTCTCCGTTTCTGCACGGATCATCTTGTTCCTACTGATGAGCGCCTCCTTGTCCATCACCTTCATGGCAAAGAAGGTGTCTGTCCCCCTGAGCTCCACGAGGTAAACACTGCCAATGTCTCCATAGCCAAGGCGCTTCAGAAGCCTAAAGTGGACTAGGCTGAGAGGGGAGCCCCTGCTGCTGGCCAACTGGATGGCCTCCCACCTGCGATCGCTCCCAGTATGCCGCTTGATATGACCACTACCGGAGTTATCCACGTTATCACTACTAGTAGAAGCATCAAAGGCGCACTGAGGAATGGTCTTGTCACCTCTGGCTGCTGCTTCCGCCGGCATGGCACCTGTTCCAGATACCACCGCCGGATTCGGGATCGCTTTGTCGGCTGGATCATCAGACTTGTCGCGGCGCGATCTC